CCTTGCTTCCAGGTCTGCCCCTCCCTGCACCCCCCCATGCCTCACTCCACATCAAGCCTGAGTGACATTTTCAAAATGGAAATTTGATCACTACCACTGGCTTCAAGGTAAACACCCAATTCCTTCATGGGGTCTAGAAGGAATCTGACCCTTGTCTACATTTCTACCTTCATGGCTTGCCACTCCAGGCTCAAACACTGAGGTCCAAGCGTCCCGCTTTCGTTCACTTCCTTCAATGTTTATGCTATGACCTGGGGACTTTCCCTTGGCCCTTTCCTCCTCTCCTGAGTATTTCCCCAACCCCCTTTCCCCTGGCCACACTCATCCTTCAAGTTCCTGTGGAGACATCACTTTTCTTGGAAGCATTCCCTGATCCCCAAGTCTGCTTTACCCGCCCTTCATTACAGCCTTTTTCAAACTGCACTTAGCTTGCTGTTTATTTGCCCTTCTTTTCCCACTGAGCCATAATCAGCTTGGAGTCAGAGACCCGGCATCTGGGTCTTTTTGTTATTCTCAGGGTCTAGCATGGAGGCTAGTGTAGACATTCAATAAATATTGAATAACTGCTTGCATGAATAAATGAAAGAATTGAACATGTAGAAATAAATGAAGACCAAGCAAAGGCTACCTACTCAAGAGTTTGCTATAATAAGGGAGCCAGCCACCATCATTTGCTTTCTGCCAGGCGGAGATTGGGAAAGCTTTACAGCGGAAAAAAGGGGAGGCTTCAGATGTGCCCTGAGTGGAGGCTGTTGGCATGGGGAAGCTGCAGGCAGGCTAACTAGAAGTGGGGTAACCTATGTGATTGGTTAGAGGTGCATATTTGGCTTTCTCTGGTGGGTCCTAGGTTGGAAACAGGGCAGAAATGAGGGAAGCAGTTAGTTATTCATCCAGTCCTGCCCATTTGGGGTCAGTTGTTACAGGGGTTATTGTTGGGCTTCCCGGCTGGTTACCAGTGATAGCTATAACTGACTTTCTATGGTCTGACTTAAAGGTAGCAGGCTGGCTTCCTGGCCTGGTTACTGTAGATAATGGGTTGGTTTCCTGGACTGGATGCTGCAGATTGTAGGTCAGATTTTTATTTTTATATATAATCTGGTCATTGCCCATTTGTATACTCAGTCTCTCGAACTAATATGATTGAACATCTACTGTACACCATGCTCTGAATTAAGTGTTGCATATGCAGCACCTCATTTATTTCTCACAATACCTTTGTGGGGTAGGTGTTACCATTTCTGCTTAACCCCGATCACTTCCTTCTTGAAGCTCATGCTAGCCACATTTTCTGCCTTCTGCCCTCTTTGATGCTTTAGGTCTCCCCCCAGGCACACACCCCCAGATTCACCGGGGACTGGGCTCTGGGGTTCTCCAGCCCAACGCTGCCATCTTCCCAGCCCTGTCAGGATCCCTGCTCCATTCCTTCCCACAACACTAGATTCCCACCTCTGGATTTCTTCATCTTCAATGACCTTCACCCCAAGCCTCTTTACTCATCCACACCTTAGTCATCAGGCACATCCCTCGTCATCACCAAGAAAGGGCTCATCTCTGATACAGAAACCCTATCATCCACTCTGATTGAAATAACTTCCTCCCCTTTTAGCCCTCCCAGGTGGCAATTAATTCTGGGTGGGGGCAGTATGGTAGGATTTCAAAATACTTCAAAATACTTTTTGCTATATTGTAAGATGTCTAAAATGCATAATATGAATAATAAACCCTCTCTAAACATGATTTTAATCTTTAAAAATAAATGTCACTTATGTATACCCATCACTATCTTTCTCCAGAGGGAACAGGGAAGGGAAGAAGGCCATATAGCACTATATGCTCATAGTCACACTGCAGTCAGAACTTATAATGATGAAGTTCTTTTATTTATTTATTTATCTATTTTATTTAAATTCAATTAACATATAGTGTATTATTAGTTTCAGAGGTAGAGTTTAGTGATTCATCAGTTGCATATAACACCCAGTGCTCATTACATTCAGTGCCCTCCTTAATGCCCGTCATCGTTACCCCATCCGCCCAGCCACCTATTTTTTAATTTTTTATTTTACTTTTTTAGAGAGAGAGCACAAGTGGGGAGGGGCAGAGGGAGAGAGAGAGAATCTTAAGCAGGCTCCATGCCCAGCGCAGAGCCTGACACGGGGTTTGATCTCACAACCCTGAGATCATGACCTAAGCTGAAATCAAGAGTCAGACACCTAACTGACTGAGCCACCCAGGCACCCTGATGAAATTCTTTTAAAATGAAGTTATTATTTTGGAAGGTCTCCAAAGTCACGACAAACACAGTTGCCGTAAATTATGTTTCAGTGGCCATGTTCCCATATGCTGAGTATGATGGTTAATTTTATGTGTCAGTTTGGCTAGGCCATGGCCCTCAGTTGTTTGGTCAAACACTGGTTTAGATGTTGCCTTGTGCCAGTATTTTTTAGATGTGATTAACATTTAATTGGTAGACTTTGAGTAAGCAGATTACCTTCCATAATATGGGTAGACCTCACTTAATCAGTTGAAGGCCTTAAAAGACAAGACTGAGGTGCTCTAAGCAGAAAGGAATTCTGCCTTTAGGATGCCTTCGGACTCAAGATGGCAACATTAACTCTTCCTGGGTCTCTGGGCTGCTGGCCTGCCCTGCCTATTCTGGACTTGCTAGCCCTCACAAGCTCATAAACCAATTCTTTAACATGTCTATCTATCCACACCTTATTGGTTCTGTTTCTCTGGAGAGCCCTGACTAATACACTGGGCAAGGGCCAGATGTACGGGACGAAAACTCCCCTGCATAGCACAGGGGAAGATAAACAGGACCCACCTCTGTATATCACTCCCTACCTTTCCCCCCAGCCATCAGTCCCCAGCCTGGCCGATTCCTCTTTATTGAACCAGGCCCAGCAGCTGATGACAGGTCACTGAGGGATTTGTTGACTGGCGGATTCTACTCTAGCAGATGGTTTTCAGTCAGTTGGTGATGTCATTAGAAGTTTAAGCTTCTTATTTCCAAGTTGAAGGAGAAAGAGTCTTCTCATTGTCCTCAAATAAGGGTTGAATAAGGGTTAGCCACTAACAGGCTAAGAGATGTATATCACAAGGCATCTTGAAAGTAAAACTGTGTTAAGCCTTGAGGGTGGAGGCAAAGCCAGGTTTTGCGGAGCCTAAAGTTATACCTAAAGTAGGAGTTACCTCTTTAGAAAAAAGAATACAGAAAGATCTTTGGCAATTTTTCAGTGATAGGTGATTATGTGAACACCTTGCTATGGCCCCTCCCAGGGCTTTGCATTTGGAGATGTAAAGTGAGGGGCCCTGAAGCTTAAGCTTTATTAGCTTCAGGGTAAATCTGGCTCTGCCTCTGGACTTTTTAGGGTGGGGGCAGAAAGAAAGGTGTTGGCCTCTCCTTAGGTTGGTTCGTGCTCTGCTGGGAAGGAAGCTGGGGCTGGCCTCGTTCCAGCTGCTGCAGGAAGACATGTTGCTCTTCCTCTAGATCCAGAGAGTTCCTCCCCTCCAAGCCCTGCTGGTGTGAGCTGCCAGACCCTTGTCCCACTGCCATCCCTTTCCTCGCTCAGGTTCTGGTCCTGGAATTTCCAGGGCCGATTAACCATGCACCTGCACGCTGTGTAGGGGGCGGTCCGGTGACATTTCAGAAGGCAGTGTGCAGCCTGTCTTCTGTCTTGCAAATGCAAACACCTCTCTATGCTTCCTACAGCTTTTTGGTCTCTGAGGACAGCATTTCTAACTGCCTGAACTCTTAACTGGCGGCACTACGACTGCCTTGCCCGAGGGAGCTTTGCGCTGTGGTCCTTTCTCCACATCCATGGCTGGCACCCCTCCCTTCTTCCTGCCTCTTCACATCTCCAAGTGCTGGATGGATCCGTCTCACATATGCAGACTCATGCTATCAGAAGCGGTGGCTTTCCGGTTCTATCCAGCGGTAAGTATTTTTATAGAATTGGCTTTCAGATATTTCACTGAGTATAGGAATTTACTAGCACCTTCTCTCCTCATTCTGGGAGAAGCCCAATGACTGGCTGAAAATTTCTGCACATTCTGGGGGCTGGCGTTCTCAGTGTTCTCTCAGCTCCGAGTTCCTGCATCTTCAGAACCCCGGGCTTATTTGCACCACACATTTCAGAGCAGTTCTTCCCCTGCTGCCCCCCACCAACTGATATCTGGGCCTTTTCTTTGATCTTGCCCCAGAATCACTCACACGTACACACGCACACACACACACACGACTTGTAACATAGACTTCACTGAAAGAGTTGGAACAATGGAGTTTTCTATCACAGCAAAACCCGAGCAACTGAAAATTACATTTCAGTCATCCTTGTTTCTTACACCCACCTTTGGGACTCCCTTTCTCCTTTGCCCCCTTTCTCTCAGACTTGAGCCCCTGCTAATCGACTGTCACCCTCTTTCCCTCAGCCCTTGCTCCCGCAGAAGGCAGAAGTGGCCTCATTCAGTCTAGATTAAAAACAACTGTAGCAACAATGAAACAGATTCTTCATCCTGCCACACTTAGTGTACATAAAACACAGAGAGAAGTGAAGAAAACAGAAGTCGTCACCACTATGCAAAAATGGACCCCCCCCTTCACACATTTAAACACTTGAGCTGCACATACTAAGCCAGCTCTGCTTCAAACTGATAGAACCGTCCCCCGGGTCTCCAGTGACTCTCTATCTCCCTCTATTTCCTCATTTCGTTGCCTCCTCTTGGATCCCAAAAGCTGTCAGAGAGAAGCCCTACTTTGTCCTTACGTCATGTAAGTCCATGGTCAGGAACCATACTGAACAGTGGCCGACCTGGAGAGAACAGAGTAACAGATTGAAGTATTCCGAGGAGCTGAAAGGTTTATTTAGGAACAGGGAAGGTGACTCCCGTGACAGGAGGCCACATTGTAGATCCCAGGACATTTCCGGGCTACGTGCACCGTGGGCACCCTCCAAACTCTCGTGACAACAGGCAGAGCACAAAGACAGATTCTATACCTAGATGCCCCCATCCTGAAGCATGGCCTCTGTCCCCAGCTTCTCCAGCTCTTCGTTGCCGTAGCCTCTGGGACATAGCTGGTACTTGGCACCTGGGACCTCCCTCCAGGAGGAGAAGCGATGGTGCCAGAGGCTGCAGAGACCATAGACAGCGGCCAGCATGGCCGCTCCCAAGCCCAGGTGCCAGCAGAAGAAGATGGTGAGGAAGGCGAGGTCCCCAGGGTTTTCTGCTCTCCAGGGCTTTCCTGAGGGAGGAGCGTACATTAGCACGGAGAGCTGCAGCATCCAGTTGCTGAGCACCAGCCCCATCCAGGTCTTGAGCACCCACAGCGCGGGCTGGTCAGGGACCCAGACCTCTATGGTGAGCACCAGGCTAACCAGGAAAGTGAGTGCTACGAACAGCCCATGCACGCGGATCTCCAAGGTGCCCTTGTTCTCCAGGTGGGCAACCATCAGCAGTGTCAGCACCCAGAAGGCCAGGGCCTCAGCTGCTCGCTCCAGCTTGACGTTCTGCCATGCTTGACATGACTGGTTCACAATGTCCACCACGCCGCTGAGCATGAAAAACCCATACATGGTGACATGATCCCAGTTGTCATAGAACAAGAATGGCCGCCGAGGGTCCTCCCAGTCTACTATCCTCATCCGGTTTACTCCTGGGGGGTAGAAGAACTCAGGAATGATGCCACCCAGGGAGATGACCAACTTCATCGTCCCTTGCACAGGTACCAGCTGCCACCACCTGTGTCCTTGCTTCTCCCTTGGGGGCAAAGGGGAGCTGAGAGACCTCTGTCCCCGCAGCAGGGCAAAGGACACCATCACTGAGTAGTAGAGGCAGAAGATGAAGAAGAATATCCCCGCCAGCAGGTGTCCCTGGAAGGTGCCCATGGTCTCGGTGTGTGTGTTGGGGCCAGCAGAGCGAGAGCAGGGAGGTGAGCAGCAACCTCTCAGCGCTCTCCTCACAAAAGAGAGTTGCTGCTTCTAAGGTGCGGTGAGATCTTCCTGATCCAACTCCACCCCTACCTCCCACACATGAAAGGACATACGTCTGTGCTGGAAGCATCTGAGCCACTCCCTGGGTGGGATCTCTCTCAGCCATGTGGCACTTCACCTCACTCTGATCCTTACTTAGGTCAGCTGAGCTTGGGGTTCCAGCCTCTGCACCTCGCTGCGTAAGCTTGGGGTCCAGCCTCTGCACCTCGCTGTGTAAGCTTGGGGTCCAGCCTCTGCACCTCGCTGCAGGTCCTAGTTTTCCCTTTCTCTTCCCTCTTCTCTGCCCCACCCACCACAAAGAGAGGGGAGGGAAAGAGGTAATTTTTTAAAAAAATATTTTGTTTATTTGAGAAAGAGAGAGAATGAGAGAGAGTGCACATGAGATGGGGGAGGGTCAGAGGGAGAAGCAGACTCCCCGCCGAGCAGGGACCCGACCCCGATGCGGGACCCGACCCCGATGCGGGACCCGACCCCGATGCGGGACCCGACCCCGATGCGGGACCCGACCCCGCTGCAGGACTCGATCCCGGGACTCCAGGATCATGACCTGAGCCGAAGGCAGTCGCTTAACCAACTGAGCCACCCAGGCGCCCCTAGGGAAAGAGGTAATTAAGGGGCGGTGGCTGACATTTTTACATTGGCTGTCTCTTGGTGCCAGCCATATTAAATCTTTTTTCCCTCATTTAAATCCCTCAACAACTCTATGAGAGAGTCATTGTTAAACAAATGTTATAGGTGACATTAAGGCTCCGAGGGGTGAAACCACACAGGCAGGTATCACATCTAGCGGCCAGCACAGCAGAGCCAGGATGGGGACCCAGATCTACTCATCTGCTGATGAAGTCCAGAGTTTGTACATGACTAAATGACTGAGTTTCAGCTCCAACACTTATAAGTCACATGATGATGAGCAAGTTACTCTGTCTTCTTGAGCCTCTCTCTCCTGACGGGTAGAATGGGAATAATAATTACCTCATAGGTTTCTTGTATTAAATAGAAGAAGGTATGTAGAGTGTCTGATACATAATAAATAATAAATGGTAGTGATTACTAGTAATTTTACTATGTTATTACTAACATTCCTTGCTGAATTCCTCTGATGATGAAGTTGTTCAAGTATTCCTCCGAATAATACCAAAGCCGTGACCATTAAAAAAAAGGGGGAAGAACCTAATTATATTTGAAAATGTTAAAGTTTTTTACTAATAGAAATTAAACATTACAATTAATAATTTATCATATATTAAAGTTACAGGTAAAAATTAATTTCAAGGAGCGCCTGGGTGGCTCAGTTGGTTAAACAGCTGTTTTTGGCTCCGGTCATGATCTCAGTGTCCTGGGATTGAGCCCCATGTCAGGCTTCCTGCTCAGCGGGGAGTCTCCTTTCTCCCTCTGGCCCCCCCATTCATGGTCTCTCTCTCTCTCTCTCCTCTCTCTCTCAAATAAATAAATAAAATATTTAAAAATAAAATAAGGGCACCTGGGTGGCTCAGTCCTTTAAGCGTCTGCCTTCGGCTCAGGTCATGATCTCATGGTCTTGGGATCGAGCCCCACGTCGGGCTCCCTGATCAGATGGGAGTCTGCTTCTCCCTCTGCCTCTCCTTCTGCCCCTGCTCATGTGCTCTCTCTCTCTCTCGCTCACTCTCTCTCTCTCAAATAAGTAAATAAAATCTTTCAAAAAAATAAAAAGTTCATGAATCTTTAAAGAAGTTAATTTCAAGAGAAAAATAAATTGTAAAATTTTACTCCATATGTGACAAAATATGTTAGTCTCCTTAAAATATAAAGAGCTCTTACAAATCAAAAAGTTAAAAGTGAACACCTCAGTAGAAAAATGGGCACAGGGCAAAAAGCGGCTAGTCATTCAAGGATAACTGTAAGTGGCCCATAAATCTACAAAAGGTGGAGCCTATCTGTAGCCTTAAAAACACAGACTTCTCTTCACAGAGGGTCATGGCGTTCTTACACTCCTTGATGCCAAATGGGAAAAGTGGTAAAGAAGGATAAATGAGGGGCGCCTGGGGGGGCTCATCGGTTAAGCTTCTGACTCTTGATTTCGGCTCAGGTCATGATCTCGGCGTTGTGAGGTCAAGCCCCGAGCCCCATGTTGGGCTCTGCGCTCAGTGTGGAGTCTACTTATCCCTCTCCCTCCCCCACCACCCGCTCACTCTCTCACTCTCCAATAAATAAATAAATAACATCTTTCTTTTAAAACAAGAATGATAAATGATAAGCTAGAAAATGTTAAGGCTACCACAATAGTAAATGGCTATCTAAAATATTTTTTAAAGATTTTATTTACTTATTTATTAGAGAGCGAGAGAGAGAGAAAGCACACACAGGCAGGCAGAATGGCAGGCAGAGGGAGAAGCAGACTCCCTGCTGAGCAGAGAGACCCACGTGGGGCCCGATTCCGGGACCCTGAGATCATGACCTGAGCTGAAGGCAGAACCTTAACCGATTGAGCCACCCAGGCGCCCCTAAAATATTTTTTCTTATTCTAACAACACTGGACACTGAGAGTTCAAAATTTTTAGTATCCAAGGGAAGAATATGCCCACCAAAGGACACATTAATGATTTCATTGAACTGGAAGCCGAGGCAGTCACATGTATATTTCAGGCTCCTCAAGGCATGAGGCAAACAGGCAAAAAAGAAGGATATGGTGGGTGCCTGGGTGGCTCAGTTGGTTAAGCAACTGCCTTCGGCTCAGGTCATGATCCTGGAGTCCCCGGATCGAGTCCCGCATCGGGCTCCCTGCTCAGCAGGGAGTCTGCTTCTCCCTCTGACCCTCCCCCCCTCATGTGCTCTCTCTCTCTCATTCTCTCTGTCTCAAATAAATAAATAAAATCTTTAAAAAAAAAAAAACGAAGGATATGGTATTGACTGTGGCAAGTGGTTCTGATTAACACAGGGGCATCGGACTGCAGCCATATAAGGAGGTGGGGAGGAAGAGGTATAGATGAAAAACAGGTGCCTCACCAGGTTGCCTTCTTAGGCTACGGTATCTAATGGTCGTTAAAGGAAGATGCTTTCACAATCCTATGCAGGCAGGACTCCCAAAGCCTCTTTGATTCATTTTTTCATTCGATAATAATACTAATAATATCAGGCACTTCTAGGCTCCGAGGACACAACAATGAAAGAGAGAGACGAGAAGCAAGTAAATAGACAAATAAACAAGAAAAAGCGGCAGAGGGTGTTAAATACTGAGCCCTCCTCCCTCAAAAGAAATTAAGGCAATTGCAATAGTGAGTGAATCCTTCAGATTGATTCATAAAAGAAATAACGTATAAACCAAGATCATATTGGCGCTAGGGTCCAGCCATGCAATATCTGACTGAATGTTTGGATGACTTTATCACATGAAGACCTAGAGGAGGAAATGAATGAAAGCAAAGACCCTGGTAAATACAACTCCTTGTTGACAATGTATCCTATTTCCGGCCTCTCCAGTTATGTCCTTCTCTTCCTAACCAGTATCACGTTATGGTTTTTGCCATTGAGAACCTTGCTGGAGGCACATCAGGTAGTAAGGACATAAGTAATTTGTCTTTCCTTATCTATCTTTTTCTGCATTTTACTATGAGCGAGTATTTTAGTAATCAACTATCTGAAAACTTGAAATCAATGATGCAATTGTCTAATGCATAGAGAAAAAGCTTGGACATGAAGACATCGAAATGTGGCAATTTCTACACGGTAGTTTTATGGGGAATATTAATTTGTGTCTTTTTTTGTATTTTTCAAATGTTCTATGAGGATATAGTAATTTAATTTCATGACAAAGTTGTCAACTTGAAAAATTTTGTAAGAGCTCTCCTCAGTCACTAAAACATTTCTTTATACATGTATATTCATGTGTACAATTATTTATATAGATAAATATGTATGTTGACCTTTACGTATGTATCTTTTTAAAGATGAAAAAGCACAAAGACAGGCTAAAAAAGTAATATAACAAATGCCAATGCAGAATGAACAAGTGTTAACATTTTGCCATGTTTGCTGCCAGGGTTTTGAAAAATAAACATTCAAATCTTTCTAGTCTCAAACCTACGCCTCCCTCTCTTCGGAATGGGAAACAATATTATGATTTTGGTGTGGATCTTCCCTGTCATTCTGTCATTTTATATATGTTTGCATCTATCTCCCTGTGTTTTATCTCTCTGTCTCTCTGATCTACCTGATCATTTTCCATGTATTTCTAGTTCTGAAGAAACAAACAACAGAAGGAGGTCTTCCTTGAACAAGGCACTGGTCATGCCTCAGTTAGAACCCATGTAAGTGAAGTTCTTTTGTAATGTAGTCAGTGTGGTTAAATTAAAATGGGGCGGGGGAGGACTCAAGAATCATGCAAAAATACAGTTGATGGGAACCACATGTCATAGTGGCCCCGTTCCAGTAAGCTGGGCAAGTATACAGATGTGTTGATCCTAAGGATAACTGAAGGTTAGCAAGGCTAACTTTTACCATCCCCTCCCAACACACACACAAAATGACCATGAGTCCCTGGTGGGTCTGTCTCTCCCCATCTTCCAAGTGGACAGTTACTTATCATCTGCTACCCTCTGAGTCATCCTGGCTTTCAAAAGGAGGCAGTGTCTAATACCCAAGTACACTTGTTGACTGATAGATTAATCTTTAGCAGATGAGTTTCAGTCATTGTCATATCGCAGTCATTTTAAGCCCCTCATCTCCAGCTGAAGAAAGAAAATCCTTAGCTTTGCCCGTGACTAAAAGAATTTTCGCCATCAGCCAGCAGGTGCTGAGATGTGTTTGTTATTCGAAGACCTTAGTGGTTTTCAAGGCTGCCCATTAGAATCATCGGAGAGCTTTTTAAATGTTTGGGCCCTACCCTGGAAGTCCTGATTTAATTGGTGTGGGGTTCAGGT